CACCTGGGCACAGCCCCCATGTAGGTGGCTGAGGGCTTGGGCCAGTCACTTCTATGGGCTCCCTGTGAAATGCATGTACAACCCAACTCCTGTGTCCTTCGGAATGGTCCCTTCCCCAGTCCAGAAACGCCAGGACCTTATCCACCAGCCCTGCACACTGCAGTCTACGTCATGCCAGTACCGCCTCATCTTTCTCTCATGGCTCTGGGACAATGCTGCCACTCAGCTCAGGACTTCTTTTCCCAGGTGAACATGGGATGGGTGTGGACTAAGTGTCTCCAGCACCAATTTGTAGCAGGGTGGTGGGAGCTCCCAGCCAATGCCATCTCCTGGACAGGTCTTCATTGCTGTGGCCTTGGTGCCAGAGGCTGCGTTGGCTACTGGTGCAGGTCTGTTTGCAGCTGTCATGGGATCTCAGGAGGGCATGGCCCAACTGCAGTTACTGACCTTGCTTGGTCTGGAATTTACTATAGAACATGCTGTTGGTGCCAATTGCCTATGTTATACTTGGGGCTCCTCCAGGCCAAGACACTATCTCGGACTAACCTACAGCCAAAATCCAGCTTTCCTTTTAGCTGCCCACTGATCCTGTCTCCTGCAGCTCCTGCTCCAGACAACTGGAGGCGCATACATCCTGGCCTTTATCCCTTCCTAGATGAACAATTCTACCATTGCCCCAGCCAGGCACTGCATCTGACATAAGGCTTCTGTAGGAAGTTCAAGTGTCGTACACAGGAGTACAGTCCTTATGAGGCAGACCTGTATGTCTCCCACTTTGTGTTTCCAAGCCCAAGTGACTACCTCTCCCTTAGAAATCACTAGCTGAATGGGACTGGCAGGAAGCATGCTGGTTAAGGCTGCTGGACTCCCACACGGCTGACCAAGGTTCAAGCTCCTGACCAGGTTGCTTGCTTTAACTTAAAGAAAGGGGGGGGGGGAGAACCAGCAGTTAGTGTTAGTAATGGCTGTCGCTAGACTCCCATGTAGTCTATTGCAGTTTGAGTCCCGGACCCAGTGGCTTAAACTCACACTGGGTGCGTGTGCATGTGTGCCCAAGATCTCAAGGGGAGAATGGCGAAGGGATGGCAGTGTGGCCATCCACCCTGGGGTGGGGGATGATTTCTCGCTTTGTCTCTGTCTGGCAAGTGCACACACCCTGTAGCAAAAACCTCTCAAAAAAAAAGTTATTAGCTGAAAAACCAAATGGAAGGGGGTTGACAGGTGGTGCAGTGGTTGGGGTGCTGTACCACATGGCTGACCACAGTTCAAGTCCCGACCTGGCAGCTCGCTTTCTTACTCTCTAGCTCTGTCCCTTTGGTCAAATAGCGAAATAATTCTTTAAAAATTTTAAATAAATAAAAAGGCAGCCAGGCATTGGGCAAACTGACTACTGTCTTTGAGGTCTCCAAACTGCATCTCCTGGTTAAGATTTGGAGACAAGAATTTCTTCATCTGTTATCTCCGCATACTAAACATTCCATTTTGCTGGTTGTAAAGGAACACAGAAAAAAGGATTTGTGTGGCCAGTCAGTGGTAAGGTGAAGGCAGCTAGGCCCCACCATGATTGTGTGGCTCAAGTCCCAAACCTGACAGCTTGAAAAACATACCAGGTATGAGGACCAGCAGGTGACATAATGGTTATGTCACTGGAATCCCACACAGTTTACTGTGATTCAAGTCCTAAACCTGTCAGCTTAAAATTCATGCCAATTGTGTGTGCGTGTGCACGTGCAGAAGGGATTACGGTATGGTCATCCCACAGGGGGTGATTTCTCCCTTTCTGTCTCTGGTGAGTGCATGTACCCTACAGCAAAAACCTCTAAAAAATACCAGAAGGCAGTATGGTGGTGAAGGCACTGCACTCCCACATGGCTGTGACTGTAGTGTGGCTATACACCATTTGGATATATCTTTTTTCTTCTCTCAGGTGAGTACATGTACACTCTACCAAAGTTAAATTAAAAAAAAAAAAAACTCAATGGCAGGACCAGCAGTTGGCATAATGGCTATGTCGCTGGACTCCCATGTAGTTGACCGCAGTTCGAGTCCCGGACCCAGTGGCTTAAACTCATGCCGGGCGTGTGCGTGTGCATGCTCAAGATCCCGAGAGGAGAATGGATTGCGACGTGGCCATCCTCCCTGGGGGGTGATTTATCACTTTCTGACTCTCTGGCAAGCGTACACACCCTGTAACAAAAACCTCTCAAAAAAAAAAAAAAACCAAACAAGCAAACAAAAAAACCACACAAACCTCAATGGGGCCAAGATTTAAAGGGATTCCTACTGCAGGTGGACATCCCTCAAATATCAGTGTTATCCATGGATGTATATACATTAACACTGTGGAAAGTCCTCCCTGCACCTCAGAAAGTCAGGCACACACAGGGTCTCGTACACTAAGTATCAGAGACCAGGTGCACCTTTACTCCTGATACTGAAAATGTATTTAATAATCACTGGGCCAACAGATAGCATAGATCCCACATGGCCAAGTGCACAACTCAAGTCCTGGACTCAGCAACTTAAATACATACACTGGGTATGTTTACAATCCTGAGAGAATGGAGAACCTACAACACAGCCATCCCCTTTGGGAGGAGACTTCTCACTTTCCCTCTGGCAAGTATACACAACCTATATAGTGTGGGCGTGTACACACGCACACGCACACACACACAAATCATCAAAAGATGCAGAGTGAGGGCTGGCAGGTGGTGTGGTGGTTTGGGGCACTGGACTCCCATATAGCTGACTGCAGTTAGAGTCCTGGACCTGGCAACTTGATTTCTCACTTTCCTTCCCTGTCCCTCTCTGGTCAAATTAAAGTCCTCTGTCACTGCCATCTGCAGGAGGCTGACCCTGCCTACCCTGGCTGTGGGGGCCTTGGAGCCCCCATCCACTGCTTGATGAGTTTCTATTTATTGGCCAAAAAGGCAACCAGTGATACTGTTTTGAAGAGACTGGAGCAGGAAGGCTGCACAGGCAGATCAGATCTTTGAGTACCTCAAGCAGCGAGTTGCTCTTCTCAAGGAGAAAACAAGTTGTAGGCAACTTTGAGAGAAGAAACTTCAAATGGAAAATGCTAAACTGAAGAACTGAAATGAGCTGATTCAGGAAGAAATTCAAAATGGAGTGAAGCAAGTACCATTCCCATCTGTTACTCTACTGCAAGACAATTCTCTAGCTTTGGAAAATGTGGTACCATGTACACCAGTAACAACCATCTTTTCTGGTACCAAGGAACAGCTAAAAGGAAAAAAAAAGAAGAAAAAATGGAAAAGAGACGAGGAAAAACAGCAGTCAGTAGCAGCAAGTGCTGATAGATGTTTCCCAACTAGATTGTCTGAACTGGTTGCATCGTTTCTGCCAGGAAACACCCTGATCCAGATTCTATTTAGAAGTCAATGTTGGGGAATCGGCCTCAGTGGCCTGGTGAATCACATTCCTTTGGAGCAGATGCAGGATGGTGGTTTTACTTTGTAACCTGAAACCTGCAAGGATGAGGGGAGTAGAGTCTCAAGTTTTGGTCATGTGTGCTAATTCCCCAAAGCCAAAATCTTGACCCCTCCTGATGGGTCTTTTCCTGGAGACTAAATTACTTTTGATGCTTTCCCTGGAGAGCCCAACAAGGAGCTGAATCCTAAGTGATTTGGGAGCAGATTCAGGCCGATCAGCATCAACTAGGACTGTGTGGTCACCTATAGAGACGTGGCCTTCCAGGTGGAAAGGATGGGCACTTGCAGGTCTCAGACCACAGCCAACAGTGGTATCAAATAGAATGAAGTGCTTTACTAAAATATATCAGAAAACAATAATGAAAAGGAATCTATTTGTCACTTGAAAATAAAGTTAAATATTTCTTAAAAAAAAAAACAAGGCCAAACAAATTTGTTTTGTTATTCTAAAATACTAGTAGGCAGAACTGTAGCAATGAAAAAATTAAACAGCTGACTAGATAAGGATTACTTGCAGAGCTGTTACATGAAATTTAACGAAACACTGTTACAAAGTTCTTAAAGTATCTCAGCACAAATTTTTATTTGGTTTAAATGCTTTTCTACAGTGCAAGAGTCAGACCAGATGACCAACCTTGGCACAACGTACTTAACCTATACCTCAGGACCTTCATAAAGACTGAGCTACCCCCCACCAAAAAAAAAAAAAAAAAAAAAAAAAAAAAAACCCCAAACCAAACCCAAAAAACCAACGAAGTTTGTTCCAGTCCACTTTGGGAAGAGCACTTTTCCTTTTTTACCTCCAGTTCCAAGGCTTTTGGAGCCAGTGTCAGTACGGTGAGTAAACAGCTTGACTCAATCTCAACCCCTCCTCCATCTCCACTGGGAAGCACCAAATAACACCTACTGTCCCCCCTAATCTCTAGGACCCAAACTAGTACTTTTGTAGCAATCTGCCCCATTCCCTCATTCTCTAGAACTAGAGAGATACACACTACATTACACAGCTGTAAATTTTAGTCTGAATTCCCTAGTAAGCATACACTGAAACAGGGCTAGCAGATGCTGTGGAGGTTAAGGCAGCTGGGTCCCACATAGCCAACTAAGTGAATTAAAGTCCCCCACCCTGTGCTTGAAGAACATGCTGGATGCCTGTGTACAGGTTCCCAAAATCCAGGGAAAAAACTGCAGCATGGCATATCTTGTGTGTGTGTGTGTGTGTTTGTGTGGGGGGGTATGCTTCCTCCCTTTCCCTGTCTTGAGTGTGCAGGAGCCCAACAGCAATACTTCCCCCCCCACCAATAAAACCAAGGTACAATGCAATTCAAGTACGGAACAGGGACACATCACTAAACCTAAGCAAAACCAATGTGACTCTAACGAGCTGAGCAATTGTTTCATGAACAGGCTTGGCAAGTGTGAGCTAAAGAAAATATCCAACACGAGTCCAGAATAGCAGGTACAAAAACAGGGCAGATGTCAATATTCCAGTCTCATAAAATGACAACTTAGAGTTAACTTTAATATTAAGGCTGACACAAAACAGAATTTTAACAATGTTTTAATCAAGTAATGTAGCTGTTTGAAACAGGAAATTTTAAGACAGTTCAATAGAACGAAGTGAAGAATCATTCTATTAAGATAACCTCTGATTAAAATTCCAATTACATGAATTTGAATTCCATTGGAAGTTTGGCACCAGACTGAAAACTGGTCTAACCCCAAATTTTTTTTTTAGTGTTTAGAAACCCTGAATGTGTTTTCCTTAGATTACAAGCAAAAGCTCTGTACCAGAACCTCTAACTTGACAAACTATGTTGAGTGCAAAGTAACTTGGGTCACTAGTCTTTTCTCTAGAACTGCAGTTCATGACAGTAAATTGGCCTTGGAGCAAAAAACTTGAAACCTAGGTGGTGTGTGAATTTGCAAAACTCCTGCTCTTTGGTGTGACAAACCACAAGTATGTGGCCCCTGCTCCACTCTCACCAGAACCTATCAAAAGGCAGCTGGAGACTGGTTCCCTTCTATTAAGACTGCTAGGTTTCAATTCCTTAAAATATCAAGCCAACAAGGTTTCATCTTACCAAATGTTTGTATAATTTCAATGTGAAAATTGTTTTCTTACATATATCTGTTATAAGTCTCAACCTGTGACAGGTCACAAAGTAATGAGAGGTGAATGATGTAAGCTGGTGTTCCTAACAAAACCAACCATGTGATCCCTATGTTCTCACAGCATACCTTCTAAGGGAAGGACTAAATTTAACAAGTTTTTACTTTAATCATTACTTAAATATAGTCAGAACCCATATTGAGTTTAGACAAGCCAAATGGGCAAGGAATTCACAATAGGTTATTGAATCTTAGCTGCCCAAACCCAAAGCCTTGGAGAGGCTGGGTCAGGCCCTAGTCATCTGTGCTCTGTGGCTATCATCAGACCTCTTGGATGTCTGGCTGTATTCAATTTGAAGTGGGGAAAAAAAAAAAATTCCAAGTCTTACACCAAAATACAGGCTCTGACTTAGAAGTATGCTTTTAGCTTTCTTCTTAAATAAGACAAATTGGAAAAACAAAACAAAACAGAAAAACAAGTTAGAAACACAGTAACACTTATTTTGGCAAGATAGCAACCCAAATCTAAAAAGCCTAAAGTATCTCTATGTAAAAGGCATTCAAGAACCAGTTTTATCAAGGAAAAAAACCAAACTAAACAAAAAACAGTTATGTCTAAACATTCTGAAATTATAATTTAAGCCATGAGGGTAAAGAGCTGAAAACCTATTGTTTTTTGCTAGATTTTAAGTGCACCTTTTTCCCCCCTAATAAAATCAGTTTGCTATTTAATCATACCCCAAAAGTTTGAGTTCTCTCCCTCAATTCAAAGCAACCACTACATACGCATAAAATGCTCAACTGTTACTGTAATCAATTCCCTGGCTCATCCGACGTGCAATGCGCATGACTTCAAAGAGAACAGTTTGGGGGCAAGTGTACACAAATTAAAAAAAAAAATTTCAAGTTTCAAAACTTGCTCTTAAAATTATTTATAGGACACCCAAGTCATTCTTACTTCTCAGTTAAGATGTTACACTGCCATCTGATTTCCAGTCTACCTCAGCATGGGAAGAACATACATTACCAGATGCCAATATGAGGGTCTATGAGATAAAACTTAAAAGTACTATAGTTTTTAATGGCTGAATAAGGTTAATTACAAATAAGTTTATGTTTACATTCTGCTGAAGACTTCTTTATGGTCTCAGCATCTAACAATTATCTAACAGGCTCCATGAATTTATCAGGTTAAATGACAGTACATTTAAAAAAGGAGCCAATTACTTCAGCTTAAGTCATTCAGAGCCAAAAATCTGAAGAATGACCAAAATCAAATCTTTATTTTTGTAACTGTATAAACGTGATCCAAATGTGTCCATCACTAGTTTTTCAAAAGGAAATCATGCTATAAATAAGCGAACTACATCTGTTCACTGACATGTGTATGGACTCCCTAGATGTCTCACTGGGCTTAATTACAGACCACTCACAGTAATAAGATTTTTAAAGTGTAGCATGATGTTTCAAAAAGCCATTTTAGCTTTTGCACATACATGTTGCACTTCTGGCTGATAATGGGAGAAAAATTTGCAGCATTACACTGTTAAGCTAGGTTGCATCCATCCCTTTAAATTGCATCAATATCAATGTCATCATCCTTGTTGTCAGACTTCACAGTTTCAACTTTTGGTACACTGGCAGTCTTCGAGTACACCACCTGATAAAAAGAAATGTTTTTTTAACCGACTATAAACCTTTGTCCCAATCAATGTGATTATAAAGTAAAATAAGTTGATATGAACCAAGTGATTGTAGTAGAGAAAAGCAGTCTAGAAAAACAATGTGACAGTCTCCACAGTGTAACAAGTGCTCTGTTAGTCTAAACTATCGTCCATCACCTTAGTATTTTTTTGGGACCAGCAGCTGGTGTAATGGCTATGTCACTGGACTCCCAAGTAGTTGACCGCGGTTCAAGTCCCAGACCTGATGGCTTAAACTCATGCCGAGCCGTGTGTGTGCGTGCCCAAGATTCCAAAAGAAGGGATTGTGGCATGGCCATCCACCAGGGAGATAATTTCTCGCTTTCTGTCTCTGTCTTTCTGGCAAGCGCATGCGCCCTTACAGCAAAACCTCTCCAAAAGAATGAATGAATGAATTAGTATTTTTTAAATTTACAGGATAGGGGAGGTGAGAAAGCAAGCTAGCCAGAAAGAGAAAGCAAGAAATCACCCGCAATCCCTTCTCTGTTCTCCTCTTGGGATCTTGGGCACACATGCGCACACACACGGCTTGAGTTTAAGCCACCGGATCCAGGACTTGAACTGGGGTGGACTACGTGGGAGTCCAGCAACATAGCCATTATGCTATCTGCTGGTCCCAACGAGCTGGCAATTCTAGGACTTGAACCAGTCTGCTATGCAAGGTCTAATGCCTTAACCACACCAGCTGCTGTCCCCTCATCACCATTTTTTCTATTAATAAAATTATTTTCTCATTGAGAGGCTATATTTTTACTGCATTCCAAATTTTCAATTTGGAAATCACCCAAAATCGCTGTATTTCATATTACTGTTCACAAAATTTTAATCTCCAACATGTCAACCTAGTGCTTACCTCAATGTTCTCATCTTCATCATCATCTTCACCACCAGAAGATTCTTCCTCTGCCTCCTTCAACCATTTTATAAATGGTTCTGCTTTGACACGAATCTCTTTGGCAAGTTCTTTTGAGACATATTTCTTAGAGGCCTATAAAACATTCAACACAATTTTCTTAGTTTGAAGATTTTAGTAATAGCTTATAAAGGATTATTTGCATCCTTACTCCTTATAGGAAACTGTGTCACATCTTAATATTGATTGATCCTCAACAGAATATTAATATTCAGCAAACACAATAATCCAAGACCTTTCTGTTGTCCTAACTACAAGGTTGACATGACAGGAATTTAATAAAAACCAAACCAAACCCACATATTAGAATGCCAACAGCTGTCAATACTTTTGAACTCTAAGAGCCCTGTTAAGTACTTCTCACCTTTTCCGACCAGCTGATGATGACCTCTTCTTCTACAAGATCTGCATCATACATCTCCTTCAAGATGTGTGGAATCTTGGAGAGGAGCTGAGCTTGATGCATTGCTACCACACACTCCAAACCATGAAGAAGGTACCGTTGAGCTTTCTTGTTGTTGTGACAGAACTGCGAGCACATACGTTGGCATTAATAAGCTTTTACAGACATCCTTAAGCTGACAGGTCTAAAATCAGAGTATTTTCATTCACCTAGGATTGTTCCTTAAGGGAAGGGCCTATATAGACAAGTGACTCAGAGGTCATCACATAAAGATCCCCTTAGCACTGTCTATAAGGCCCATGGTTCAGCATTTTCAGATACTCACAGGCTCTAAAGGGAGTTAATTATCTCTACTTTCAGGACAACAAACAAAAAGTGGTTAAACCAACCATCCTGATACCACACAGCTGTAATCTCATTTATGAATCTAAACAATTTGCTTACTCGAAGGAAATGGCGCCTATATTTCTTAATTTGTTCTCTAATCTTCTCATTAAAAAGAACTTCAGTCAGAACAAGAGGGCCCATGGCTTTTACATCCAGTCTTTCTGCTTCAGCAACAATTTCTTTGTCAGATGAATCAATAATACCCTCTTCTTTCTTCTTCTACAAATAAAAGAAAAACACTACAGTGAAATTAATCATTTTGCTGGGCAAAAGATGCCCACAAGTCTTTGTTTTATAGAGGGAATGTGAGAAATCATTCCCCAGAAGAAATGGATCTTTTCCTCCATTCTCCTCTTAGGATTTTGGGCACATGTGTGCACACAAACACTTGTACCGGGTATGATTTTGAAGCTGCCAGGTCTGGAATTTGAACTGTGATTGGCCATACAGGGTCAAGCATCTTAACCACGATGTTACCTGCTAGCCCTGGTCTCTGCTCTTCCAGGATTTTCCCTACTTAACTTTAACTCTCTTTCCTTTTCCATGACAAATGCATGTATGAGAGAAAAAGTCCTTTACAAGTCCCTGTCATACCACAATCCCCCTTTCTCAGTCCTTTGGCTTATTAGGACCCTGGGTGCTTGCATGTGCACCTAATATAGTTCTCAGGCCAAATCACAGTTGTATGATTTCCAGCACTACAGTTTTACTGCTGCATCAAAACAGCAGGGCCTGGGACCAGCAGTGGGCCTAACGGCTATGTTGTTGGACTCTCAGGTAGTAGATTGCAATTTGAGTCCCGGACCTGGTGGCTTAAAACTCACACAGGGCACGTGTATCAAAGATCCTGAGAGGAGAATGGAGGAGAAGGGACTGCAGCATGACCATCTCGTGCCACCCCCCCCCCCGGGGGGGGGGGGGTTTCTTCTTGCTTTCTGTCTCTATCTGGAGAATGCATGTGCCCAATAGCAAAAAAAGTATCCCCCCAAAACAGAATTTTTTTCACAGTTGAGACATAGAACAAGCATCCCTCAACAAAGTCTCATGCCATGACTCTTCCCATACCCCTCAGGCAGGATCATGGGTAGACAGATGTCTGCTGCATACAGGCTAACCAAGGATCAGAACCCATGATCTTCCATATAGATCTGGCATACAGATCCAGTTCTCAAAGTATTTCCTCAATGAGAAGTTAAACCCTTCATTGTAGTAAAGATTCCACTGAGAAGTTACTTACCAATTACCCAAAGAAAATTAAATGAGCTAAAACTGATTTACAGTTCAACTAATTTACCTTAACAAAATCAAACAAGATATTGACTCTCTCTTCAATAGTTCGCTCCAAATCATCACTGAGTGTCAGGACTTTTGCATGATCACTAATTTCATCCATTCTACGCCTTTGGGCTTCCTCAGTTGTATCCTCCCCCCAGTCATCATCTTCCTCTTCTTCCTTTTTACAAAAACAGAGCTTGTCAAAGGCTACATAAAGCTTATCAGGTTTTGTCAAGTATACGGCATCAAGTTCATTTACCACCAAAATAAATCAATTTCACCTTCATTTAAGCAACCACATGCATTCAGAACCAAAAATATTGTTGAACTATTATCCTGAAGCCTGGTTTCATTTTTGTCCACCTCAACCAAATGTTACTTTCTTTAAACAATTTTGGCACCTACTAGGCTGTCAATCTGCACTCACCACAGCATGTGGAGGAGGACTTATTTCATTTGGTGGTGGTGGTGGTGGTGTCTCACTGCTAGATACAGAGCCATTTTCCTTATCTTTGCCTTTTCTATTTTTCTTTTCTTTTTCTTTCTTTCCTGTACCACTGTCACTATTCTCTACAAAAAAGAAAACAAAATTAATTTAGTCTGATAATTCACATTACCTTTGTGCCTATCAAAAACATTTAAAATCCTGCCCTCTTGCTATGGATTTCTTCAGAAAACCATACCACACAATGCTCTATAATTCAAAAGAGTTTCACAAATTTCACCAGTAAGAATCTCAGGCTTAGAATTTAGTTACACAAAATATCAAAGGAATGAACTGATGGCTAAGATTAAGATCAAGTGGTAATGCCTCAAATGACTATCACCACCAAGAGTCAAGGCTGGCTTCATGGTTTCCCATCCCCTATGCTTCCATCCCTCAGAAACTCAGAGGGCCGCATCTAAACCAGGTTTAGCCAACAGCTCGAACTGTTTAAGTCTATATAACGGCTTGTCTCACCGAAAAGAGAACACCGGAATAGGTTAGACTTTCTTGATATGGCAAGCTCAAATTGTGTCAGACAGTTTTGATCATCTGCCACAGAGTGTTGCTTGCAATACTGTAAGGCCATATGAGCTAAACGTGGCAACCTCATTTACAAAACAGTACCAGAAGTAGATCCTTAACTGGGTTCCCATCACAAACTGCTTTACATCTGATTCTAGAAGATAACTTCCTAAAATACTTAATAAGATCTAAAAATTCCTTACAGTACATTTTTTTTTAAACAAAAACTTCAGTTCTGTTTACAACCTTATGCAACTTACGTTAACATCTTTTAGTATATCACAAAGACTTACCAGGTGGGTTTTTGAGAATGAATGTGCAGAGTTTATGATGTGTGTCAAGCATGCCTCGATAGCCACAGGCTTTACAAGAGTTACCTATTGTTTGCTTTTTTGGATTGACGTGCAGTTCAGTTTCAGGATTCTCACATTCAGGACAGAGAACAAATTTTTTAATGAATCCATCCAACATGTCTTGCAGCTTATTCGCCTCATGAGATCCAGTATGTCATCCACAATATGCGATGGAAATTGTGTGAATTTGTGGAACAAAGTGTGGAATTATCTAATGAGTGAAGATAGCTAAAACATCAACCTAACGTACACCCAGTGACCTGCTTAAAACAAAAGCAAAACTATGCAAATATCTCCAAGATTTGTGCTTTGCATTCTACTTACAATTAAGTTGTTCTGTTTTCTCAGTAACATGACTTGATGTGATCACAGAACTGACAATACCTCAAAGAGATACATGGTTTCTTATTTCACAGGCAAAAAACTCAAAGGAACTCACCAGTTCAGTTTCAGGATTCTCACATTCAGGACAGAGAACAAATTTTTTAATGAATCCATCCAACATGTCTTGCAGCTTATTCGCCTCATGAGATCCATTGACAATGTAACGGTCATTCTTAACATCAAACTGGGTCTGTGCTCCCAGCTCGCAACCAAAATATTTGGTGGGATCTATTTGAAGGAAAGGCTTGATTCATAATAGTTCGTTACATCAGTATGGACTACTCATTCACATTTATGCAAGTATCTATGTTTTTAACTGTTTGGTTAAAAATATGTTGCTTGTGTCTCATGAAATTTATGGCAACCAATAATTGGTTAAAGCCAGAGGTTTCAGGCTTAACTCTTATGATAATTAGCATACAATGCAGGCAAGTTTTGCAATTTAAGGTTCCAAGAGTCCTTCTATGATAGGCCTTTACAAACTTCTTCAATAAGCTTTACTTACACGTTGGAGGCCGATTAAGCGCCTTTGCAACGTCAACCATGTTGACTATAACTGTCTTGATTCCATTTCCTTTGCCCTCAACCTAAAGGAAATAAGAATTTAAAATTTGCACTGCCTTCCCTATGAGAAGCAATCTTCAAAAATCTGAAAGTGTGTCAGGGACTTCTAACTAAAATGAAGATCAGTATTACCTTGGCAATCAGACGGGGCATCTTGTAGCGATAGAACTGGTCTGAAACGCTGCGGTTGACGTTGACAGACATTTTGGCTTATTAGTGGCTTTATCAATAAGATGAAGAGATCTTTGATTGCAACTTTTTGGTATCTTCTGTCTGGAGAAGAAGGGATGACATAAACGACTGCAAGAGTTCTCGGTCTCTGACATGAAAAAATTTTCGCCACTGAGGCTGTAAGCTTCTTGCTTGTATGCTATGTTTCCCCAATACAGGTACCAATGGCTGCGCAACAGCTCTGAAAGAGAAAGGGGAAAGACCCATCCCCAGATTTAACATCATTCCTACATGGAATTAACCACACATCATAAACTGAGTTCATTATGCTCCATTTATTTTGTTAAAAAGCACCTGAGCTCACCTGCAAAACGACTGCTATCTGCATATAAGGTAGCACACCTGTATGATAAAAGGCCTCCACTTTGACTAGGCTGTAACTGGTAAAGAACTGTCCAATTTAAAAAAAAAATGCTGCCTCAGCTGCAAAGAATTTTCACCAGACCCAAGGCAATCAGCCCCTCAATGGCCTGAATCTGTGGCGTGGCCATATTTTAACTGTCAAAAAAAAGAACACAAGCCCTCCCCCCAAACCCAAGCCTGTAATCAAAAACTTAATCCCCGCCCCCAATCGCTTCAAGCGAAACCAAGGAACTGTGCGTCCTGAGTCAAGTTGTTGCATCAGCAACCCTAGCTGACTTCAAAGCAGTACTCCGGGAACACGAAACGTCCGTCCTGCAGACTGCGCGTTAAACGAGCGAGAGGGAACGCCAAGCTCCAACCTCGGTCTTCTCTGCCTTCCCCTCGCTGCTCAAACACGGTTAACCTTCGCCCTGGTCCCCATGGCTACCACGTCCCGAGGCTTTGGGGAGCGGCAGGACAGCACAGGCCGGCCCGGGCAACCCCGGGCCATCGGCGGCGCAGCAGAGGCGTCGGGCCCCATCCCGGAGCGCGTGCCCGTCTGCG